GTTAATGTTAAAGATAAAATATAATATACAAAAAAATTTAAGAATATAATTATGACAACATTTAATTTAATTAAAACATAATATATTTATAAAATGATATTGTGCGAATATATCAGTTCCAATATCTTGTTGAAAATTAGGTTTTCCCCATTTTGCAAAGTAAAATGTGACAAAAACAGTACCTTATGAGATACCGTTTCTATTCAACGTTATAAAAGTAATCAAACCACGTGCTAATGTACATTGTAACATCATTTTCAAAGACTTGGAAGACTATTAGTGTCTTTTCGTCCTTTTTTAGCTCCAAATATTCCAAATAGATAACAACGTCCTTGAATTTTTAATGTGAAATCGACAAGCCTAGACCAATTTGTTCTTCGTCCATTTTCTTCACGCGGAGTGTTACGATTACCCGTGAGTGACACAAGTGAAATCTACAATTTCATAAGATCCGTTAATTGTTTGTAAAACCTGATAATGTGAAATTGACAAGCCTTGACCAATTTGTTCTTCGTCCATTTTCTTCACGCGGAGTGTTACGATTACCCGTGAGTGACACAAGTGAAATCTACAATTTCTTGAGATCTGTTAATTGTTTGTAAGACCCGATAATGAGTAGTGTATATACTTTTAACTATATATATATATAAAAAGAGTAAAAATCAATTTATAACTATAAAAATTAGAGATATAATTGCTGTAATAACTATGTCTAGTTGAAATTCACACTTAATTTTGACTTATAACGGGAGATTGATGAAATGATTATAAACCTAAAAATGAAATTTTGTCTTAACGAAGTGAAATACAAGTAAAATAATTAAATTCTATCCCACTTTTCAAACACGTCGACTTATATTACAATCTAGGTGATATCACCAAATTAGTATTTAGACCAATTGTAATAATCATGATAGATGTAACTCGCACATGAAATTGACTCGTAAGGAGATGGTACATGAGTGGTTAAAACTTAGAAATCAATCTTAACTTGTTGGTGTAGAACACAATTAGCGTTGTGGTCACTTTATTTGAATTCAACCATGCCCAATAGTCTTAAATACTAATAAAAAAATTCAAAATATTCCGATACTTAAATCAATAATTTATTATAAAAATTCGTAAAGAGAGAATGAAGTATCCAAGTTGTCAATTGAAGACCATGTATTTGGTGTGTTGATTGAAGACGTGTCCAAGTTGCACGAGATGTTTTTCTTCTTGGCACAGAAAAGGATACCGTGTGACAGTAGTCTACTCTATTAGATTACCTTTAGCCTTCTTTCGATCGTTTCGGGACGAAAGAAAATTTGATTACAATTAGTAAAAAGCTTGCAACATGAAATTGAAATGCATTAAATGTAAATTGATCATTGATTACTTGAAAGTTAGAAATTACAATTGATGAAAGCGAGAAATTACAATGACTGATGCAGGGAGCGAACACCAGAAAGCTTGAAAGATTGTTTGAAAGACTAATACTCCCAATAATAGCATTCAGAACAAAAACCTAAGTAATTTGGAGTAGAAATTTAAATGTCGAGAAATCATACTAAACATTTACTAATATTAGAGCTATTTTACTATTGAAATAAACTATTACATTGGGAAGGAAATTATAACTCAAGCTTGAACTAATATTTACAATGTGCGGTCGAAGTTGGGCAAACTACGATTGGATCAAGGGATTAGTTGAAGCTGCGATCCCTGAAGTGTAATTATAAACTCGTACATACAATCAATTTGTAAGAAAAATATGATCGTAAACTTTCAGTTATAAACTCACAAATTCCAAGTCTCGTAAGTGTTTGCGTCAATTTGCACAAAGGATCGTAACCCCTAAATACTTAATGGATGTCTCTGTTAAAGAGTTGTGTAGGTTTTAGTTTCCAATAATCCAGACAAAAGATCATTATGAATAATGAATATCTAACGTTAAGACAAGTAAAACATAAGATTCAAAGACTTGATCTTGTGGTCGGAAAGATTTTGCTACTTGCAACTTGCAAGTGACGGGCAGCTGCGTNNACTTGCAAGTGACGGGCAGCTGCGTGACAAAACACTTCTAACCAATTTTTGTCATTTCTAAAGAGCCCTTACCAAAAAAGCAGATTTACAGTAGATCGTGAAAAAGAAGTCATGACGCACCATGATTAAATTAATACGTACGTTCTTTCTAGAATGATCCTTGCTGTGAACGAGAAGACCTTACAAGAATCCAAAACTAAACTAGCGAGGTTATCTAGGTGGAAATATGGATCATCGACCATATATGGGTGTAAACACATCTGATCTTCTGCTCAAAATAGACAGGATAAAAACTTTCCACTGCGACGTGGAAAGAGAACCTTATTCATGGTTACGGTAGAAATATGGATTATCGACCACATATGGTGTAAATATGCTTGATCTTCTGGTCACGGTGGACATAAAAAAAAATTTCCACTGCGACGTGGAAAGAGAACCTTATTCATGGTTATCTCAAATTTAGATAATCATAAGGTTCTCTTGTCTGTTAGTAGTGAGAAATTTTATTTACTGCGAACATGAGATGAATTTTATATGAAACAATAGCTTTATTATGACAATTGTGAGAAATCAAATTATAACTTGTCGACTTAGCTTGTGTTTGGCCCCACATCTTTTCAAAAACTCGTTCTTTTAAGATTTATTTTCAACTACACATTCTACTATAAAAATATTACATATAAGTCGAAATTTTTTCCTTATTTTTTAACTATACATTCTCCAGAAAAATCACTATTTTAAAACTCATTTTCCCTCAAATTTCCATTAAAATGGAGCCAAACAACGGCCTACAGTCACTGGAGAATCGTCTCTATAAATCGGGAAATTAACTTGGCTTGACTATGGTTTAAAAATAATAAAAATACTAATTTATTTTTAAATTCATATATATACAAATTTCATTGGAGCAGCGATTATCCCGAGGTGCGACAGTGTTGATATATGATATTACAGCTGTATTGCAAGCGGTCTAGAATGCATGATAGTTTAGCACCCTTTCGGCCTTTTTTTTCAAAATATTTTATTTCATTTATAACTTTTATCAAATTTTTATCCACATATTTTATTAATTTTTATCGAAATCTACTAAATTTTAATTTTTAACTAAATCAAATTGGGACTTGATATAACTAGGACGATAGTAATTCAGTCTGGATAATAATCTAATATACTGCCCTAATCTCCTGCCCACTTACCCAAAAATTTCATCATGTTGATGTGGCAGAAAAACCTTACTCATGGTTCTAAAAAACGACAGAATCATAATTAATGTTCTCTTGCCACATCATTATTGAGAAATTTTTATCATATCCACCCACCGATGACACAAAATCAATTTCAATATGACATAATTAATAGAGATGTCAAATTAGATGAGTCATCTTGAAACAACCGTTTCATCTGCCCCAGTAAAATAACGGATTCAAGATAGATTTGGCCAGTTCGAGTCTAGGATTCTAGCCCGACACTTAACTGGAGCAGGGTAAAAATAAAGAGCATTGTTGGGTGAACAGAAACTATACACCACAAAAGCCAGCCAGAACACTTACAAGAAGGTGGGGCTCGACATTTTTTACAATATTTAATTTATATGGGACCCAGCTCCCATGTGACTGTTCTGTTGCATTTCTGTAAGTTGAATTTATGTACAAATAGAAAACTCAAAAATAAAAGTAGAATTGCGATTGAATTTCCTGGTCAATGGAGTATATTAATTTGCCTTGATTAGGCAATCTAATTGTTAAGCTTGATTATAAATTGTTTAAATTACTAATAAATAGAAATAAAAGGTGAATAAATATGTAGTATTTGTAAATTATTCAAAATGTGAGAATAAAAAATAGGTTCCGTTAAATATATTTATAAATTATGGCTAAATATATTCACACAACCTTTTTTTAATAATTATATTACATTTTAGTTGTATGAAATATTCATAATCTTTACATATCATCACATTATGTCTCAAAACATTTTTCATCATATTCTTATCATCAAATTAACATAAAAAGTTCCTAATTATGGTTTCTCTTTAATTTTTTTAAGATGTAGTAAAAAGATTCATTTGTCCATTGTATTTTTAAATAAGCAAAACAAATAATACTGTAAAACACGATTAAATATTCGATCCTCATTTTAAAGCAAGTTAACAATATTTTTGGATAAAAAATTATAATTAAGGACAAGATTTTCTGATCAATCAAATGTTAAAAATAAGAATGTGATGAAAAAAATGTTAAGGATATAAACATGATAATGAATAAAGGTTAATGATATTTAATGTAATTAAAATGTAGTGAATTTATAAAAACACGTCGTCTGAATATAACTACCCATAAATAAATCAACTACGTGTTTAAACAATATAGCCAAATCAATAAGACAAATTAGGTTATCTACCATCATTACCTTGATTTTGTAAAGGTTGCAATTCATTAATTACGTCTCATTTAGGCAGATTAATCGGGAAATCTTTAATTGATTTGAATATAACATTAAAAATAAAATAAACCGGTTTGAGCCGGTTCAACCCCTGTTCAACCCCTGTTCGGCCGACCATTTTGACACCTCCAATAATTAGCACTGTACAAATATATACGGTGCATACTTTTCAGCAAATAGGAAATTTGTCAGTAGTGACTTTTGTAGGAATCTATTTTCCAGTTCCCAAGATATTTAACAATTTTCATCGTTTTTGTCAAATCTCTCACGCTGCTCTAATCTTATTTGAGAACGAAGTATATTCCTTACATTTTCTGCTTCGTTCTTAGGTTCTATGTTCCCAATGCTACAATAAGCAGGTGATTTTATTTTTCTTGCAAGTTCTAAGAGTATTTCCTCAATGAAATACTAAATTTCACGTTTTTGGATATCTTTGGAATAATTGCTTTATTGATAATTATGTGTGATGTTTGTGTATTTCTTGCAGAAATATAAGGGAGAAGCAGGTTCTTTAGTTTAGTTTTGGCATAATCATGTCTTCTGTTTCATGGTTGACATCCCATGAATGTTCTGTCTCTATCATTCAATCATCGGATGATTCAAATGCGTTTTCAGTTGTACTGCATTGGTTGGAATTCATTTTTCTATCACCGTGTCCTCAGAGGATTCTTGTTTCATCCATTGATCTTCTTTTTCTGTTAACCCTCTTAGCATTAGTCATTCAAAGGCTATATTCTAGATTCTCCACCAATGGAAATTCGGGATCCACCCTTAGCAAACCTCTTATTGGAGCTGACACTCGGGATTTTAGAGTCACTGTTTGGTTTAAGGTTTCTTTTATAGTGACGGTTCTGTTAGCGTTATCCTATGTTGTTCTCTGCGTATTGAGCTTCATCCATGGTGTTCAATCTCAATGGGATTTAGTCGAAACTTTGTTCAAATTGGTTCAAGCAATGACTCATATTGGAATTTTGATCCTTCTTGCACATGAGAAGAAATTTCGAGCTGTTTCTCATCCACTGCCCCTCCGAATCTTTTGGATCCTGAACTTTGTTGTGATGTCTTTGATCAGTGCTGCAGCACTCACTCGCTTATTCTCTACTGATGGTAACAAAAATCAGGAAATGAAAGTTGATGATGCATATTCTTTGGCGAGTCTCCCATTATATGGCTTTTTGTTTATTGTTGCTGTTAGAGGATCATCTGGGATTAGATTGAATATCGAATGTGAAGTCGATGATAACTCTATACGTGATATAGATGAATCCACGTTGGTTGATTCTAATGTGAGTGGCTATGCTACGGCTTCTTTCTTCTCTCGAGCAATTTGGTATTGGATGAATCCACTCCTCAGTAAGGGCTACAAGTCTCCTTTAAAGATGGATGAAGTCCCTTCATTATCGCCTACTGATCGAGCTGAAAAGATGGCTGAACTCTTTGAATTGAATTGGCCTAATCCCACTGAGATTTCAAAGAATCCCGTTAGAACCATGCTTCTTCGATGCTTCTGGAAGGATCTTGCTCTTACGGGTTCTCTTGCCATTGTGCGTTTGGCTGTTATGTATGTCGGTCCAGTGCTAATCCAAAGTTTTATCAGCTTTACTTCTGGCGAAAAACACAAATTCTATGAAGGAGTTTTTCTAATATTGATACTCTTAATTGCAAAGATCATAGAAGTCCTTAGTTCACACCATTTCAACTTTCTGTCTCAGAAACTTGGAATGCTCATTCGTTCGACTCTTATCACTGCTTTGTATCAGAAGGGGCTCAAGTTGTCCTGCTCGTCTAGACAGGCTCACGGAGTAGGACAGATTGTGAATTATATGGCTGTTGATTGCCAACAACTCGCTGATTTAGTCTATCAACTGCATACATTATGGCTGATGCCGTTTCAAGTTGGAGTCGCATTATTGCTATTATATGTTTATATGGGAGTTTCAGTACTCGTGTCACTCGTGGCTGTTATCGGAGTAATGATCCTTACTTTTATGATTACGCGCAAGAACAATTCATTCCAGTTCAATATAATGAAGAATCGGGACGTAAGAATGAAAGAAACGACTGAATTGCTTAATAACATGCGCGTGATAAAGTTTCAAGCTTGGGAAGAACACTTCAAAAAGAAAATTCAATCTTCTCGAGGAAAGGAGTACAGCTGGCTCAGTAAATTTATGTATTTACTCGCTGGAAATCTAATTTTGCTATGGAGCATCCCGAGTTTATTAGCTGCCTTGACTTTTGCAGTTGCTACCTTGATGCGAGTACCCCTTGATGCCGGTACAGTTTTTACAGCTACAACGATTTTTAAAATTTTGCAGGAACCGATTCAAAATTTTCCGCAAACTCTGATGTCGATTTCACAAGCAATTATATCTCTAGGGAGGTTGGATGGATATTTGATAAGTGGTGAATTGGAAAATAAATCTGTGGAACGAGAAGAAGGTAGTGAAGGTAGAATTTCTGTCGAGGTGACTGATGGCAGTTTTTCATGGGATGATGAAGGTGGTCATCGAGTACTGGAAGATGTAAATTTTGAGATCAGGAAAGGAGAGCTTGCTGCAATAGTTGGAACCGTTGGATCGGGAAAATCCTCTTTATTGGCTGCAGTTCTAGGTGAGCTTCGTAAAACCTCAGGAAAGGTACGCATTTCACCCCCTCTCAACCTGTAGAATCATTGGGATCACACAATTTCAATTAGCATTTTGAGTCTTTTTTCCCTGGAACTAACAGTTCAACTGATCATACGCACCTAAATTATCATAAATGATGCGCCCTATTGAAAGTTTTAAACAAGACAGAGTAGGAAAAGAATGTCCTTATCCCATCATGAAGCATGTTTGATAAGCAATAATGAACGAGAGTGAACGGTAGAATAAGCTAAATTTAAACTTATTTTCATTCTTAATACAGTCTAATTCTGTAGTATTGTGTACCAAACATGCAAATAAGTTTTATCTCTCCACAGGTCAGAGTCTGTGGGACGACTGCTTGTGTGGCACAAACATCATGGATACAGAACGCAACTATCCAAGAAAATATCTTGTTTGGTTCACCAATGGACAGTGAAAGATATAACAGAGTAATTCAAGTGTGCTCCTTAGAGAAAGATTTGGAAATTATGGAACACGGAGATCAGACAGAGATTGGAGAACGGGGAATCAACCTTAGTGGTGGTCAGAAGCAGCGGATACAACTCGCTAGAGCTGTATATCAGGATTGTGATATCTATCTTCTTGATGATATATTTAGTGCCGTTGATGCTCAAACCGGATCAGAAATATTTAAGGTGACAAAATATTCTGCAGCGTAGACTCAAGTTACATTTAATTATCTTCGTTCTGGTGATGCCAAGTCTATAGTTGTTAAAAAGATTGTTGAAAACAACTTGAATGAATCTTTGCAGGAATGCGTGAGAGGAGTTTTGAAGGATAAGACAATTTTACTTGTTACCCATCAAGTCGACTTCCTGCACAATGCTGATCTTATATTGGTAATTATACGACTTTCTACTCCAATTACGTGATATAAAACCTCGATAATAATAATTGAAGAAAATCTGATGATGATGATGTAACACGGTCTAGTACTGATGATCATTATCATTCATGTATTTATGTAGATGGCATGTTCTTGACATATGGATATAATTATGTGTACCTACTTGTTTGAAGAAAATGAAAACTAATAGTGTTGATATGCATTGACACTTTAGTATGAGCACACATTATATGCTTGAGTTTTCTCTTGATGAAAACTTTTAATAGTGATTGGCTGCTGGATACTACAAGTTGCAATTTACTAGATTCTGTTTTCACCAAAAATTGTGATACTTCATGACCAGGTCCTACGAGATGGGAAAATTGTGCAATCGGGGAAGTATGAAGAGCTTCGTCAATCTGGCCTGGATTTTAGTGCTCTTGTAGCTGCTCATGAGACGTCCATGGAGCTTGTAGAAACTAGCACAAATGTTTCCGTTGTTAATCCCAAACACACACCCGAATCACCCCACAAACCATCACCAAAATCACCCAAAAATATCTTGAGCCAAAGTGAAAATGGTGAAAACAGGTCATTGGACCAATCAAACTCTGACAAGGATAATTCTAAGCTGATCGAAGATGAGGAGAGAGAAACTGGCCGTGTCAGTCTAGCCGTCTATCGGCAGTATTGCACCGAGGCATATGGATGGTGGGGAGTAGCAGCTGCTATACTTGCATCTATATTATGGCAGGGTTCACTTATAACAAGTGATTATTGGCTGGCATACGAGACTTCAGGAGACCGTATTTTTAACCCTTCTCTATTTATTAACGTTTACTCAATCCTAGCTCTCATTGCGTGTGTGTTTGTGGCTATCAGATCAGTTCTAGTTTCCTTCTTAGGCCTCAAAACGGCTCAAAGTTTTTTTAATCAAATATTAGACAGTATACTTCATGCTCCAATGTCATTCTTTGACACTACTCCATCTGGAAGAGTTTTAAGTCGGGTGAGTTTACTAACTTTTGATTTTAACCTTCAGCACATTTTGGTACGCAGGATAATACGATAATCAAGGATTTGACTTCTTCTTTTGTATTGTCCAGTAGACTCTACCAAAGAAGCCATTTATGTAATATTTTCTGTGTGTCTCGACTAATGATATAATTAACTTACAGGCATCAGCTGATCAAGCCAATGTTGACTTTTTGATTCCATTATTTATGAGTGTGACACTTGTCATGTACTTCTCGTTGCTTTCCATATTGGTCATTACATGTCAATATGCTTGGCCAACAATATTCATCATAATTCCACTGATTTGGCTTAACATATGGTACCAGGTATGGAATTTTATCCTCACTATTGTTATTTCAGTCCTCATGATTATATAGTATAACCTGAAGCCTACACATAACTTCAGTTTTTCGCTGCTTTTAGTATAATCTATGAACCAAAGATCAAAATTTTTCCTTAGCAGTACTCTCCATTTTTTTTTTTTGGTGATGCAGGGATACTATATTGCATCCTCCCGTGAATTAACACGACTTGAACAAATCACTAAAGCCCCAGTCATCCATCACTTCTCTGAAACCATTTCCGGTGTTATGACAATACGTTGCTTCAGAAAGCAGGAAAAATTCTTTCAGGAAAATGTTAACAGAGTGAATGCCAATCTGAGGATGAATTTCCACAACAATGCATCAAATGAGTGGTTGGGTTTTCGTTTGGAGTTGTTTGGTTGTTTTGTCCTTTGCATTGCCGCCGCTTTTTTGATCTTGTTGCCAAGTACAATCATCCGACCAGGTAGTATCTCAACCTTTTGGGCTAGTTTGGCAGGGGCCTTTGCTTCTGCTTTTTGCAGAAGAGTTTCCCAAGGAAGCCTGGTTTTCTGAGCTTCCTTTTAAAGCTCTTTTAATCATACAAATCACTTCTAAAAAATTATCCAAACATGTTGAAAAAGCAGCTTTTAGCTTTTCAAATTCTTGCCAATGGGCCCTTAATAAAACAAATAAGCTTTCAACTAAAATTCTTTGGATACGAAATTAATACACGGTCATTTTGTTATTAGCGTATGTTGGACTGTCACTTTCTTATGGCCTGCCACTTAATTCGGTGCTGTATTGGACCATCTATCTTAGCTCGTTTCTTGAGAACCGTATGGTTTCAGTCGAGAGGATAAAACAGTTCATAAATATCCCGGCAGAAGCTGTGTGGAAGAAAGAAAATACTCTTCCATCTGCTGATTGGCCTAATCATGGTGACATTGAAATAAAGGAATTGCAGGTATCCAGTTGTTCTTAAGTCTTCTGTCGAGGATGTAAACTAGTTCCATGATTTTATGTTTAACTTGTTTTCGGAGTTCCAGTACAAATCTTTCTTTTTTGGACAGTATTCTTTAATTACAAAAAATTAAGTTTACTATTTTTAATCTTAGCCAAACGTGCCATCTGGAGTGGTGGATATATGTTTCAGCATATCTATTCGTGACAAAGTGTGGACATAAATCTGAGCAGGTTAGGTATCGGCCAAATACTCCTTTGGTATTGAAAGGAATATCTCTCAGCATCCATGGAGGGGAGAAAGTTGGTGTCGTTGGTCGAACTGGAAGTGGAAAGTCAACTCTGATCCAAGTGTTCTTTAGGTTGGTAGAACCTTACAGTGGGAAGATAATAATTGATGAGGTTGACATATGCAAGCTCGGCCTTCATGATCTTAGGTCTCGATTTGGAATCATCCCTCAGGAACCTGTCCTATTCGAGGGGACTGTTAGAAGCAATATTGACCCCCTTGGGTTGTATTCTGATGATGAAATATGGAAGGTATGATTCCGTTTATAAAGTGCATAAATGATATGTTGGACTGTCTATTAGCTCTCACAGTAAAGGTGAATAACTGTATGTGTTAGACTCACATTTTTCTGAGTTTTGCCAGCTCATTATTGCTCTATATTAGGTATATATCCATAACATGATAGACTCCATTATGATGTCTAGAACTGAGTTACTTATGATTTTGTTGATTAATGTTTCTTTGTTTTTTGGGTATAATTCTAGAGTCTTGAACGTTGCCAGCTGAAAGAGGTCGTGTCAGCAAAACCTGAAAAGCTCGATGCTTTAGGTCCCCACCATTTTTCATTAGTCTTTCATTTAATTTCTATGAACGATTCCTATCTATGTAACTAACACATATCGGCACTGTTTCTTCCCCAGTGGTTGACTCGGGAGATAACTGGAGTGTGGGACAAAGACAGCTTCTATGCTTGGGACGAGTCATGCTGAAACGTAGTAGAATTTTGTTTATGGATGAAGCAACAGCATCCGTTGATTCACAAACCGATGTCATCATTCAAAAAATCATCCGTCAGGAATTCTTATCTTGCACGATTATTACTATAGCTCACAGAATACCAACTGTTATAGACTGCGACAGGGTGTTGGTTATAGATGATGGTTAGTTGCTCACTTTGTTACTTTATTACTATCACTCCAATTTATTTATTTATTTATTTTCATTTTAGAGCTTACTTATTCCTTGTAAATAAACTTTTTAAGCCTAGCCAGAACCATGCTCCAAGAGCTGCAAATGTTGTGCTGATTGTCTATTACTGCAGTATCTTAGTGATTATAGTCATTGATTCTTATGCACTTTATTTTTGCATTGTTATGTTTTTACAGGATGGGCGAAGGAGTTTGATAGTCCATCTAGTTTGCTCGAGAGGCCCTC